CTTAGTTCTCTGCATTGACATTCCTTATTCATGTTGATGGAAAATCATGTGAATTTCAGACTGAAAAGTGTTGTGACTGTGTGAAACAAATGTGAAAAATTTTGTGAAACAAAGTGTCTTTTCAAGAAGAAATAATTGTAGGTAGATGTTTTTTTGGTATATTTGGATAGTTTGTTTTTAATACAGAATCAGTTTTTCTAATTAGTACAATATGTTATCCTTGAGTGAAGCACTTTGGATCTGTCCCAGTCATTAGGAGTAAAATTAATTACTGATAATTACAGCTACATAGTTGGATCAGTAGAACAGTTAGCTGCTTAACAGATAGTCAGTTGCTGTTAAATGGAGTATATGGCATATATAAGATTGTAAAACAGACAAGGTAAGCTTACAGATTTAAATTCCTCACAGAGACTCAAATTATGCACACTGTATCTTCCTGACACAGTGATGAACATTGTCTTCCTGTTCTCTTAAATTTTCTCTTAGGAGACAACTTATTTGGGCTTTTCAGTACCAAAGCAGGCCTTGATTGTTGGATGCAGTCTTGAATTTGGTGTGTGAGAGATGTGTGTTTTGCCAAAGTAAAATCTTACTCATTTGACCATGTAAGTTAAATGCATGCTGCCTACCACACGTTTTGTTTTTAGCAGCATGTAGTTTGAGATAAAAAAGAGAACTAAAACACTGGAAAAGAAACACTCCTCTTTGAAATGATGACATAAGTATTGATGTATTTGAAGTAAATGGAGATTCCAGGAATACAGAAAGATGGGAAGACATGTTTCCTGTCTGACAGTGGCCACATCAGTAGTTTGTAATCTACTGCAGTGCAAAAACATCTTGTTCTGGATGAATTTGGCACAGTCATTTTGCTGAGGATGTTTCTGCCTGTTTTTCCTAGTTTTAATTGGTCAAACCTTTATGTAAATGAAATATCCACTGCTTGTAATGCCTTTTGACTGCTGTGGATCTGTTGACCTCTGTACCTTGAGCAGCAAGGTTCAAGATATCCTAGTGTTGTGTGAAAGGCATGTTTCCTCTTACTCAATGCCCCACGTTTTAACGTCACTGAATTGCAGATACTTGGTAGAAAGAGAGATTGGTTTATCTTCCTTCTGTTGTTGTTTTGCCATGTACCTCTAAGTTTCTGCCTCAGCCCCCCCCCCCAAAAAAAAAAAAAAACAACTAGGACCTCTAAAGTTTTTTGACTTCCCCTAATTCAGGTACCTTACTGTATTTCAAAAGTATTTTTACAAACTTTTTCTGAATCCATTCCTGTAAAGGCAGGAGCTGGAATTGATTTTAGCATGACTAGTATCTCTTACTCTGTTCTTCATCCTGTTCTTGTGTTTGCCATTCAGACTCCTTGTTGACTTTCAGGTCATGCTTTAGTGGTAGCTTTGGATTGGTCTGTGCTTTGTGTTTGATTGTAATGTGAAAAACCCAGTATGTACCTTTTAATTAAATGCTTTAAAGCATGTTCCTCCTCGCCCCCACCATGAAGTGAATGGATGCTGAATTTCACCACTTCTGTGGTGAAATGGACTTCTGTGTACATTGATGGCCTCATTTTTCTGAAGTACCCAGGAAAAAAAGAATTACTATCTACTTCTGGGTTTGTTTTATACAAAATAATAATAAAGTGGACCTGTTTGCATCAAAACCTTCCTTAACTATGCAATGCTGGGGAAAGATTGGTGAAAAAAATAGCTAGGGAGACGATGGCAGTGTCACTTCAGCACCGCCTGGTTGTTTAGTTCTTTTTCACCTTGTTCTGGGTTTGGCTGAAATGGAGTTAAATTCCTTCATAATGGCCTCTACAGTACTCTGTTTTGGCTCAGTGGCCAAAACGGTGTTGATAACTCACTGGGTTTTTGTTGCTGAGCAGTGTTTGCACAGTGTGAAGGTTTTCTTTTTCCCTCCTCTCTGCCCCCACTGCAACGAGTAGGCATGGGGTGGGCAAGAGACTGGGAGGGCACACTGCTGGGACAGCTGACCAGAGTTGCTTATACAGTCCATACTGTATGACATGCTTAGCAATGAAAACTGGAAGTGGAAGAAGAAGGGGAGAAGGGTGTTGACTTCTAAGGTGGCTGTAGCTCTGAGATTGGCTGAGCAATGGTCTGCTCCCTGGCTGCCTTTGTCCCAACCCATAATATTTCTTGCTGTTTTTCCTAGTTCACTCCTGTTCCTCCTCAGGCAGGGATGGGGAGCCATGGGGTGGCTCTGTGGCTGCTGGGCTGCTGACCAGGATCAACCCACAGCAGATCTGAAATTTAATCACAGTTAATTCCAGCAACATTTGACACCTGGGTTCCTGCAACATGGTATTGGTCACAAGTCTGAATGAAAGCTTGGCTCTGGGGTTATACACCCATTTGTTTTCACTTCCTTATGTAAAGCTATTTTGAGTTGGGAATGTTTAGATAGAAGGTTTACTAGCCTGTTCTTTGATATACCTGTGTTAAGTTTGCCTAGCGTCCTCTTGGACTGAGCAGCCCGGATATGTCTGGTGAATGGAAGCATTCTTAAAATGTTTTGACAGTGTTTCTTGTACTTTCTTGCTCTTTAAAGATGGTGGATCCTTTTTCATGTTGTCCCATAAGGTGAAGTTTACAGTGTTAGGGAGTTTTCTTTGGTGTTTTGTTTTTTTATTTTTTTTTTTTTTTGTCAAGAACGTTGATGGCATAAAGTTCTCTGTGCTTATCTTTTGCTTAGTTCACTTGGATGGCAGTTTCAGTATCAAAGTTAACAGTGAAAAAAGGCAAATTTTGATCTAACTTCACCCTTTCCTTTCAAATGCAATTTCAACAAATTTTATATAGAAATCTTCGAAGAAACTTTGGTCTGGATCTTGAACTTTTCAAGATTTTTATTATCTCTCTTCTGGAATAAACCAGCACATCTCCAGAATGCAGGCCTGCCATCACACTTGTGTGTTAACAAGGTTTGTCTTAAGTGTAAGAACTGATATTAACGGGGGAAGAATGATCCATCTGAGACTACTAGATACATTTAATTTTCTTTCCTCTTTAGAATCTGGATATTAGAGGGCATAATGTTACCAAAATTAGAATTGCTTAAAAAAAATCTTCAGATCATGATGTGGTAGCCAAGTATACTTCCCTTCTTCTTAGGAGGCTGCCATTGATTTGTTTGTCACATTGGGATCTAGAGGTTTTTCACAGGGATGCACAACTGTCTGCATTGCAACGAGATGAGATTACTACAGCCCTAAGCACTACCCACTGAAGAGTTTTACAGGTGTGCAGCCATCCATCTGCTGAAGAGTCAAAAGCCCATGATGTTGTCCCTAACCATTTTCTGACTTCTATTTACTGTTGTTTGAGGTTACATTGGTGTGCTTGCTCTTTGCAGAGCCCCAGCTGAAGGGCAGCGTTCCTATGGCAGATAAGATAGGGGTTGTGGCAGACAGCACAGGGAGGAGCAAGAAAAACTTTCTGGGTCAGATGCTTACTCCTGTCAAGCCAATATTGAAATGATACCGTAAAATTTTCCTCATTTGTGTAGGATTATTGTAATAGGATGCTAAGGTGAGCTCAGTGCTGTGCTTTTGGAGCTCCAGTCAGGCCCTGCTTTCTGTAGACAGACTTGGAAGGGCAATGGGTTTCAGAAGCAGAAGCCTTCTGTAGGATGTTTTGAAATCTAAAGGAATCTAGAAATAACCTCATGAAATAGGGCCTATACATGAATGCAGATCTGTACAATTATACCTATAATTAAGAATGAAGATGTTGAGTAGACCTTTTTTCTTGCTGTTAGCTTTAGACTTTGTTCTTGTTCCTGCATGTCTCAAAGGCTAATTTATTTTCTAAATAACAGTGGTCTTGTAGTCTTGGCGAAAGCTTGAAGTCTGAGATTGTGTTCGTGTTAAATATAGAAGAGAGAGAGCAAGAGTGCTCGAACCTCTGGAGCCAAATACACTGCACAAGTTAATGTATTGGCTTTACACTGATACTGCTGTTCTCCCTCTGCCTTTCATTTCATTGTTTATTTTGCTTGATTGACACTTGCTTGATTCTGTATTACCAGGATGAAGTGAATTATTTGTATGCTCATCCACATACATAGCAGTGATTACACTGTGATGCTAATAGAAGTGAACGTAATTAATTTTGTAGCCACAGATTGTTTTGACTTCATTACCTGGGAATATGTGAAGTATAAATTACATCTTCTTGTAAATTAGTGTTCAAGACTCTTTGAATCTGAAACCTTGACACTAGTTAGAAGACTTCCTTCTGTGCTCCAGGAATTTCCATGCTAGCTTAAAAATCCTTGTATTGAAAAGCAAACTCATAGTTGTATGTTTCTAGCAACCACTACAATCACTCTCCTTTTTTCTGTTGGGATTCACAAGTAAGTGTCACTCCCAGAGTTTTCTGGTATCTTTTCCTAAGTTAAGGGATGTATATGAACTTACGTCATCTTCTGCTGCTCAGTTCTGTTACCAAGTGTCTTTCATGTTAGGCTTATAAATTTCTTAAATGTAAAATTTTTCATTACATGAAAGAAATAGCATGAACTCTTTAGGTTTTGATGCATAGCAGATAATTTTATGAATTTATTAACATTTTGAATAAGAGCAAATGCTAAAGGATTGTTAGATGTGGTGTTTTGCTTGGAGTTAATGGTTGTATGTGCAGAATACAGTCAGTGATATATTAACAGTAGACTTGTACTCTCTAGTTCAGCTGTAGTTTATTAATAGTTCAATTGTTAGTTGATTGTATTTCAATGATCAGTGAACTGTAACTGACAATCTTCTGCTTTTTATTCTTCAGTGCTGCAAGCTGGTTGAATAAAATTAAGAATGTGGAATATAACATGGATGCAGTTGCCTGAGCACCATCTCTTCCAAAGCATATATTCTACAGATTGATGGTCTGAATGATTGCTCAGCAGGACTATTATCAAGAAACTCTGTCTCTTGCTGCTGTGTTTGACAGAACTGGTGTGGAGTCAAGTCTTCTGAAATGCAGTTGAAAAAAATGAGGGAAATTTTACCAAGATTGTACCCTGGCCAAGTTAATGATAAAAATAGTTCCTTAACTACATCCCCAAGGCAATCTTCTGAGGATAAAACAAATCTGTCAAAAGGGGGTGATCAGAACTGCTGTTACCGAGGGACTGAGGCTGAGAACAGTAAATTGTCACTAATAAGCTGTATAAAATGCAGAAGTGTTCAGAAAATTTCAATGCAAGATATAGAAAAGCATAAGAATCTTGGGTGGACTGAAGATAAACATTTCATCTGCAAGAAGTGCAGTCATGTTACACCACCAGCTTTGCATTTCGTTCCTGAGGGTGCCAATGCTCTAGACTTTGAAAAACGTGAAAAAAAATGTCCAAGTAAAACCCAGAAGACATTTAAAGTTAAAAACTTTCTGCCAGGTAAATACTACTGTGATAAATGTAGATTTTCAACAAAGGATCCTTTACAGTATAAAAAGCACATAGGTCAACATGAAGAAATTAAATTTATTTGTTCCCACTGTAACTGCATATCCTACACTAAAGGAGAATTCCAGAGACATTTGGTGAAACACACTGGAACTTTTCCATATCAGTGTGAATACTGTGAATATGGTGCTGTTAGACATGACTATATCGTAAAGCATACGAGAAGAGTGCATGCAATGCCCACAAAAAGGCCGTCAAATACTATCATAAACCACAAGCAAAAGAAGCCAAGTCAAAGCACTTTATCTGAAAAGCAGAAATACAATAAAATTCCATTTCAGAATAAACTTTCACATTCGTCTGCACATCTAGTTTGTGACATTCCAGGTAAGGCAGCTAAAACAGTCTCTTCATCTCATGATGTAGAGTGCAGTGTAAACACAGCATCAGACCAGGGTAAAGCAACATTGGAGGCATCTGAGATGAGCGGGTGCGAGAATCAAAGTGTGGAAGTTGAGGTTTATTCTCCAAAGACAGAGCCCTTACAACCTGGAATGCCTTTAACCGTCGTTGCTCCATCTGAATTTGTAGTTCCTTCTAACTGTTTGGCTCAGATAGTAGAGATTAAAATAGTGAATGGAACACAACAGCTGGTTCTTAAACTAATTCCTATGAAAGAAGCAACTTGCAAACCTGTAAACAGTGCTGAAGAGCAGCCTGAGAATCAAGGTATAGAACGATCTGCAGAAGGGAAAAAAACATCATCATCCGTGTCTCAAAATGAGTTACTAACCATGGAAGTGAATGTAGACAAATTATCCAGAGTTAGTAACCAGCTTAATTTGGATAGCACACATGACATGAATTCAGAATATCTTTGTTTTTCTGATTCTCAACTCTCAGACTGCAACTCTGTATCTGTACAGAGGGAAGATGAGTCCAAATTATGCTTTCATTTGGTGAAAGGTATTGATGTCCATTCAGGTGTTATAGAACTTTGTTCTCCATCTCTGTTAAATAGTACTGAAAAAAAAAGGGATTTTAAATCCTCAAGGTGGGAAGTAGATGGAAAAAATAACTTACATTATGACTTGTATTGTTATGAAGAAGGTGTGGATATATCCTCTCCAAAATATGCCACTGTTTCTGAAGATAAAAGTTCCAATAAAATTTCAGTAGTGGCTCCTCAGGGAGGCAAAAATTCTTCTGCAGTCCTTAAACAAAAGGATGCATTACCTCTAAAGAGGAATAACAAAGAACGTAGGAGTGTACCTGCCAGCTCTACAGAAACACATTTACCTTGTAAGGGTTTTGATAAAAAATACGTTGCATCTTCTGAAGCAGGAAACAACTTTCATGTCACTAAAACTCCGCCTTCTGAGGATGTGACTTTTGGCTTTAGCAAAGTAAAGAGAGCTGAAACTGTAAGTCAAAAGAACAGTCATCTTCTGGAATCATTAGAAGTGCAGAAGATGGAAAATAAAGGCAACAATTTTGAGGGACCTGTGATTTCGTCTGTATTTTCTCTTAGCTCTGGAGCTGAAAATGTTCCAGAGGGTGTCAGATGGGATGACACAACATACAGTAAGAAATCGGCAACATTGCTGTGTAGAAAGATTGCTCAGATCATGTCTGCTGCTGAATCTAACATGAAATCCATGCCTTTGAGATGTCAGGCTTCTGGTAAAAAGGTGCTTTTCCGCCAGGAAAATTCAGCAAGGTGCGAGAGAATTGTTTCTGCCACTGAAGTGGAACAGTCTGCCTCTTTGTCTCAAGTGAGTGGTGGAAACAGTGTGACTAGCAGTGAAGAGCATAGTAATGATCACTTGCTTACATTTACAAGAACATCTAAAAGCAGGGTAACTAAAAATTCCCATGTTGCCACTCCAGTGTTTATCCCCAAAGGAACAAAGCTGAGAGTGCTGAATGCCGCTAGCAGTCAAAACTCTGACGGAATAGAAGAGAGAAGTGAAACATCAGGTACTTCTGCCTATTGCAATGAAATGTTTCTGCCTCGCCCAGTTCCTGTCAGTGTTTCGGAGCCACCTAGCAGTAATTTGCCCTCTTTGCCCAATCCGAGCGACCTGAACGCTGAGTCCCGAAGTATATCGCTCAGGCAAAGACCAAAGCGAGAGGCAGGTGTTAAAAATAATAGCAAACAAACTGGTGTGCTGTTTCAGAGAAGCAGTGGTGTGAGTAAGCAAAGCAAACACTATTCAAAAAGTCAACTAGGTCCCAAAAATAAAGCAAAACAAGCAAGCTTCAGAGAACTTCCTAAAAGGAAAACAAGAACTCGGTTGGAAACCAGTTCAAGTTCTGACATGTCTTATCTGTTGACAGCAAGACGTCTTCGGCTTGTCCCTCTGAGAATGAATCAGTTGATAAAATGCCCTCGTCGTAACCAGCCAGTTGTGGTGCTAAACCATCCTGATGTTGACTCGCTAGAGATAATTAATGTCATGAAGACTATAAACAAGTATAAAGGTCAAGTCCTGAAAGTAGTTCTGTCAGAAAGGACAAGTAGTTGTCTTGGTATCAAACGTTACAGAAAACGTCTTACTCTTCAGAATGTTGAGACAGGAAACCAAGCAAAAAAGCAGAATATGCTAAAAATGAAACTAAAAAAGACCCATAAAAACAACTACCAGGTGGTAGAAACTTCACCAGCTGAAAGACTCCAGTGTCTGTTTAAGTGCTGGTTTTGTGGAAGAGTATACGTGGACCAAGAAGAATGGATAAGTCACGGACAGAGGCACTTAACAGAGGCGACCAAGGGTTGGGATGTTCTTTCTCTGCGAGCAAAAAAGAATTAAATGAGAGACTAAGGGAGATTTCCTTTCTTATTTCTAATGAATGCCACTAACTTGTTTGGAAAGAAAAATTGAAATAACTGCTTTATTTTGGCGAAGGGTCTCTACTGTTAGCAAAGTGGAAGAAAAGAGCAGAGTTACAGAGACCAAGAGAAGCCAATAGTGAGGATTAAACACTTTGCACTCTCACGTTTGAAATTTGTATTGGAGGTCAACTTCATCTGTTCGTAGGAGAAATTTTAAAAAAAATTTGCTATGCAAACATCTTTCTAGTGACTATGCTCTGTTCTAGGATACTGTGTTATAACTGGTTTGTGCTAGTTCTGTGTGGATTAGTGTCTTGGTGTCATCTTCGTAAATTTGACAGGGTTTAGTTTGCTGTATTACAGCATGGTGTTTCAAAGATCAAGCATACTGAAAAGCACCTTTGATCCTCTGTGCAGCAGATGCCACTAAAATCTATGATGGACAAGTTAAGCACCATGCATAAAAAGTAAAACTTAAATGCAAGTACTTTTGTTTCACTGAAACAAAAACACTTTTGTTGTCAAGATAGAAAAATATAAATTAGGAATCTGGGATCAGAGTTACTCGCACTAGGTCATATAGCACTAAAAAGTTTATCTTTGTTTAGTACTTAGCCTTTACCTATCCTGTATTGCATAGATGTGAGAGAGCAGAACACTGTCAGCTTTCTGTACTGTCCTTTTTTCTGATCAGGCAGAGCCGGAGAGATCCTCAGATGCTTTTATATACAAGGTCTCTCAAGGCTGTTCTGAAATCTAAGGAAGTAATCGCCAAACAAACCCTCCACCACCATGTGTGTAGCCTGATAGAAACAACGTTGTGGAACTGAGCGCTTGGTTAGAACTCTAGATGCTGGGTTATTGTGTATTTATAGGGTGAACGTGCTGAAGATGATGTTGCACAGCTTTTACTTTTACATTGACAGTGTTGAACCCGATTTTCAGTGCAATTGTTCATCCTTCTCAATCTTAAGAATTTAGGTGTTAGAATATATTTTTGGTAGGCCTCAATAAATATAAGCATGTGCCTGGTTACATATGTATGTCTACTGTGTATCCACTGACTTCAGTGCAGTGTAAACATTGTTCAGTTGCTTAAACACTTGCCAACATCAGGGCCAAACTTCAAGTGTTTTGTGAAGAAGAGGGATGAATGATACTGAAATCTAGTGTTTCATGGACGATGTGTTTTCCTTCATCTTGTCAATTTTAAATAATTTAAAAATCCTATGGAATGAACTGTATTGAAGCACATATTTGCAATTAAAAGACCTTGTTACGTTTTTACAGATAAGAAAGTCAATACTGACTCTAATGCTGGATGTGTGTTCTACGTTTGAGCTGGAGTTACTCTTGAAAACCGTTAGTCCCTAACTCTCCACTGGTGGTGCATTTTTGTAAACAATTTAAGATGGGATTATTTTTTTTATATACTCCAGCAAGATTATGCATTGTTTTGATAAAGTATGTATCATATCTGCTTTGAAATGTAAATATTTTAAAACTACATCTGACTGAGGCTTATTTTCAAAAACAGTTAAAACATTATTTTCCTGCCATTTTGCAATTCAGTGTTAAAATCCTTCAGATAGGTGGTGCTTTAAATCAGGTCTTTTTCATTATGTACACATTGAAAATTTTTGTATCATTTGTATCAGCCTAACCTGTTCCACAGAACAAACTTCCTTTTGTCTGTTTTGTCAATAATAATGAAAAGACAGTTCTCATTTTGTATTCAAATGGAATTATATTTTTTTAGATGGGTACACTAGAAGTTTTTTTTTTTTTTCCACTTCATATACTTTGATGCCAAACCTAACGGTACTATTTGCATTTTCAATTGCAAAAATAGCTTCCATTTTAAAATTCTGGCATATCACATATAATAAATACTGAAATTGTTAACACAGGAAAAAACCATGGTTCAATTTCCTTCTTTGTTTTAACTCCTTCAATCCAGGTTACTGTTTGAATTATTTTTTTTTTCCTATAGAAACTACTAAATAAATAGTTTTGAATTTGCTTTGTAAAGAGTTGTCACTGGCAAAATTAGAACATTCCTCAGGAAGCTGTATTGGAGGGGGGATGGGAAGTGTTGCTGCTCAGCTTTATGAACTCCAGGTGATTTAAGTGTATTAATGATGCTTATGTTTTGTAAGGAAGTTGACTTAGTAAACGTCTCCAAAGCTTTGTATGTCACTACTATCTAAATTATTAAGCTGCGTTTTTTTTTTTTTTTTTTTATGGTTTTAAGTTATAAAATATTTTGTTTTCTATTCTAACATGAATATCTTTTTTTTAAATTAAATTGTACAGTGGCTGTGAAACTCTTAAAGGAGATTACATCATGCCTCTTTTTTGTGAGATCTGCCAAACTCTACTTAGGAGCTTCTGTTTTGTTCATTTTCATTCTTATTATTATCTAATGCCAGAATAATTTCCTTCAAATTTAGCAGTTTCAGTGGTTTGAGAGAAATAATCAATGAAAGTTCTTGTGCATTTTGATGCAGCATTGAGAAATAAAAATGTTGCGAGGAAATAATAACTCCTCCATTTTTTTTTTTTTTTTTTTTAAGGGCTAGTTTGTGCCGCTACATACTAAATCATTAATTGGGTTGGAATGTCATGTTTTGGGCTGGAATGTTTATTGTTCTTATTCTAGAAGGTTAAAGTAACTGGTATATTGCAATTACCTGGTTAAAATTCTGGGTGTACTTAGAAAGGAAAATTATGGGTGCCCTGCAGAAAAATACTGAAGTTTGCCTTTTAGATTAAGATTTACTTGAGTTAAGCTTTCCCAAACTCAAATTGTAGGAATAAATATTACTGTGCTTTTTTTTCCTGGAAAAATATTACCTTCTCACCATCTTTGATACACACTGGAACATGTTTTCTTGCTGAGATTGAAGCACATAATGCTGTTCCTACTGATGCTTTTTATCTCCATACTTGCACATGGAATGAATTCAAAGGGACTGTTTGCATAATGGTCCTACTACTTAAGTGTTTGAAGGCTCAGATATGGAATACAGTATCTTCTACTTAAGCTAAAGAGTTAGATAAGTAATAGAATTTATGTGATTAAAGCTAGCTTTTTAATAGGCTGCAATAGCTGTGAGCATCAGCTGACGTCCACTGACTTCAGTGGCTGCTGAGCACAGCTTGTTCATTGTGCACACACATACACACACTGAATGAATTCATTAAGCAGTGAGTACTCAGATAAATAGCATTTATTTATGTTTTTATATGACTGTTGTGCTTTATTAGGTTTTGTGACTGAGCTTCAGTGATGTTTAAGTAAGAAAGACTGAGTTTGGTTTCATCTTGTGTTAGAAGGTAGGGTGCAAGATAAGCAAATTGCTCAACTGTTGTCCAGTGTCAGGAGCCCGTGCCACTTGAGGCTTGTCTGTGAATTCATACAATAGCATATACTGTACCTGCATCCTCAAAGTCAAAAACAAATTACAAGAATAAAAAAATGGAGTGGATCTGTATTCTCAGTTGGACATTTTTTTCAGTGGAGCATTTAGAATGCTTCATAATATTATGGGGAGCTTCTCACTCAAAGGCTAATCTGAATTTTGAGACACTTAAATAACTGTTTTATTTACATGTATGCAAAGAAATAGGTAATGTTAAGGCAGAAAACACCTTCTGTGCAACTTCAGTGGATGTCCAAGGTAGCATTGTTCTCTCTGGGTTCCTGATTTATCCCTTCCATCAATGAGTGTGATGGGAACATATTTGTAGAAGTCAATGATCTCTTTCACAGAATTAAATTTCTAGAGGAAAAAGAAAAGTTGTTATCAGTGACTGAAAATGGTGTTGCTAGATGGTTTTCTTTTAACTTTAAGACCACTTGCAAATGACAGTATTAGATATAGGTAATATTTTGCATAGAATTATGATTAGATTAGATTAGATTAGATTAGATTAGATTAGATTGAAGCAGTCATAAAGGGAAAAGTACCAGATTTTAATCCTCTTACTTATTTGTGTCTGTCTTGTGTAGGAGTAAGCAGCTCCTATTTAGGGCAAAATGGGGAGCATCCCTAAGCCCTGAGGATGCAGTATCACTTGTAAAAGCTTGTGGTGCCAGATGTGATGATAGATTTTGAAAAGATGAAGCAGCTATAAAGCATTACTAACTATACTTAGTCAAAAGTTAATTAGCAGTACATGATAATTTACACTGCAAGTTTCTTTGTACCTTTTAAAATGTACCTTTTCCCATTCAGTTTACTGATAAAGTTGCTATAAAGTCACTTTAATGTATGGAGCAAGAAGGGTCTCAGCAGGATTCTAGTCTTGTTCTTTGGTGTTCAAAACAATTACATCCTTCCTCCAAGCCCATTCCTAAAATGATGACGCTGTGGCTCGAGATTCCTGAACTGATGAAACAGCAATAGAGAGCTATCCAAGGTATTTATCCTCATCTGTCCTGGTGAGTCTTTTAATTCTGCCATTCCAATGGTCAGCAGTCCCTCAGTTTAAATAGTTCTCTTCCTTGTGTGTCACTTCTAAGCTCTCACCACACCACTGTTTCTCCTTTTGAGCTGTTCTTTGGACTGACTGGCGTTAAGCGGGGCTCTAAGCTTCTGTGCAAAACAGACACTGAGTTGAAGAGGAGCCTACTTCTGCCTTTGACTTAGTTGATGCTCTGTGATTGAGCCTGAGGCTGCAGACAGGCTAAGAACATGTATTTTGTGTGTGGCAGATCAAAGGAGATAAGAAAAAGATTTACATTTTGTGTCATGATAACTTTAAATGTGAGCAAGATTTTGATTTCTTTAAAAGAACTACATACATGAGAAGAAGCAGCATAACGGGTATCTCTGGACATTTCATACTGAAAACTGACGAGCCCAGGAAGGCAACAGCCAAGTAAAGGGTACTCAGGACAGCAATTTTGAATGTAAATACCCAAATTTCACCTAAGTCCCATGTGATTTGTCCTTTAGCACAGTATAATAT